CGCGAATGTTCACGAACCTCCCGGCCACCTTTGCCCACGATCCCCGACCCCCGTCCCGCCGGAATCGCCGTGCCGGCGAACCGAGAACTTCTCCGAGCGGCTGAAACTTCGCGCGCGTACTCCCACGCGGCCGATTTTTAACGCCGCACTCGACGGGCTGCGACTTCCACGAGGTACGCGGCTGTCCGCATCACCTGGCCCGGGTTCCTCCGGGTTCCGTGTGTCGAACTCTTCACTCGCCGCGGTATTTCCGATGGGGGGTCGCTTTTTCCTGCGGTACACCGGGGCTGCGAGTAAGCGTCGAGTCGCGGAGAGATTTAAACCGCGGACGGTTCGCGGTACCGTAATTGGAAATTGAATGGATTTGACAGTTCGGAGCTGGACGGTATTTTCTGTTTGCGATTCGAGAGATTGTTCGTGATTGTAATTGAATGATTGTTTGGGCCTGGCGAATCGACTGGTCGCGACATAGCTGAACAGGTTCCGAGTGTCATGTGTTCCATGAGATAGGAACTTGGATTTTGGTAGAAGTAGTTACTGCAGGAATTTCTATACGACTCGAATGATTAATTAAAGATAGACTTTTCAATATTAAGCATTAACGAAAGTAGTTATTCGACGAGGATACTCGGTCCGACAGTCGTCGCAGTGTAGTGCAATTTGAAACGGGAGCCAGCCGCAACTTGATTGTTCCAATGTCAACGTAGCTAAAATCCCTCTGCGCGGTGGACGTCCACCGGATCGAAATTCGCGGACGACCGGCGTGTTTTAATCACCGCTGGAAATCGGGAGAGACGTGTCCCGCCGGGGCCGCGGCCGCGAAGGATCAAAGGGCGTGATCGTTAACGTCGTTAGCGCTAATTAATCATCGGCAGGCGGATAAATATCGTGTATCGGGGGTGATAAGCGGCGCACGGACGCGGGGGCCGTGTCCGCCGATAATTATGAACACGCCAACTCATTAGTCGCAGCCGACGTTAACGGCGGCCGCGTCCGCTTCGAGCCGTTCGATTGTTAACCGTGTTTCGCGAGTCCGAAAGAACGCACAGCCGCCGGGTAATTGCCCGCGAAAGTAATTAGAACCCGGCCGCGCGCCTCCCGGCCCCTCCCTCGGCCTTTCCCCAAGCCGCAGACGGGATTAGAAAATTCCCAGCCGCGGGCGGAAGACGGCAAAAACACTCGCCAGTAATCCGTTCCTCTCGTTTGAATTGCAGCGTCGCGTCGGGCCGCTCGTTACGGTGGCCGCGGAAGTTCATGAGAACCGTTCTCGCACGGACAGTGACCGTGGAACAGGGAAGAAGGAAGAGACAGCACGAGGAAAGGCGCAAAAAGAGAGGCGAGCGGCGAGAGGAGGCTGAGACTGGTCGGATTGGTCGATCCATCATTCCGCCGGGCAGCGTCGCCAAAGCGCGAGAGGAGCCGCGTTCCGCCGGTTGGGCCGCGTAATTAATCGGCAGACTTAACCGGGAGCCGAATTAATCGGGACAGATTTACGGGACACGTTGTACGGCCTCCCGATACCGCGATCATGAAGTATCACCGGCGCGTGCAGATGATCGCGCGCCGCCCGCTGATGAAAAAGTCCGCGCGAGACCGCGGACGTTAGAGGCGGGCCGACCGATCGTGCGTCAACCGGCTGACCTGGAACACGTCGATTCCAGCTCGACTGAGAGCGAAACGAGCTTCCACCTCGAAACGGCTATCCGCCTTGTCCTTTCTCGTCGCGAGCTCCACTCGTTCCCCCGCCCGTCGTGTTTGTCTCTTGACACAGCCGCTAATTAATCTTCCGGCTGCTCGACGGTGTCCTGGCGTGCAACGACGCCCGGCCTGCGCGAAATAAAATCGCGACCCGAGAGGGGACGGCGAACGAAGATAACGAGCTGCCGTCCTGCGGGGCCGAATAATTCGGACAAGAGCGAACCGCCCCGAGCCACCGCGTAATTAGCAAAACAGTCCCAGCCCGGGAGTGCTTCCGCGACGGCGAGTCGATCCCCTCGAACTGATCAAAGAGGCCCGAAGTTGCGGAGCCGAAAGACACTCTATCCTTCGAGTGGCTCTCGGCGGCTTCCGCCTATCAACGGGGAGCCGGAGACGTCGGGAACCTTTGGGGATCGAATCGATGAGGATCAGCTAGCCGGGCTGATCCCGGCTCGCCGGAAAAGGGGAATCCTCTCGAGGAGTATCTCGATCGGGGAGTTCCTGGCTAATTCAGTGGAATCGTCGGTGGAACCCGAACGCTCGGCGGTGAACTTCTGTCTTGGGGACGTGCGTGATACTCGGTTGCTGCCTTCGGCTCTGCTCCGAAGGGATTAGCCGACGGTGGAGAGTGTGGCCAACGTTTGTGGATGTGGGAACGCAAAAGTGTCAAGATCAACGACAGTTTGATTCGACGACGTTCGTTGACGGGCAGCTCGGAATGAAGTCGAGGACGATGCCCGAAGGCTGAGCCGGCGGTAGCCCGATAGGGGATCCAGAGGAGCTGGCTAGCCGAGAAATCGTTAGAGTCCGGTAGCGAGTGGCAAGAGAAATGTCCCGGAAACAGAGGAAGATCGGAAGAGTGGGAGGCTGATCGGTTGGCTGGATCCTCGGATAATAGCGTGGAACCGGGGTAGGAGTCTCACGGGGATCAGGGCTGCAGGGCGATTGAAAATTTTCGCCGGTCCGGCGGACGATATTTCACGGTGAAGGAGCGCGGGGATGATGGGGATCCGCGAGCAGTGAATGTGGGTGGGGGCTAACGTGTCCAGTGACAAGGGACTGGCATAGGACAGACGGGAAATTGTAGAATCGCTGCCGAGGAAGGTATCCTGCGGGCGAGCCGGTCAGCCGACGGTGATGGCATGAGGACATTAGTAAGGAAGAGCTGCGGGTCCAGCGAGGAGGAGGATGAGGATGGTGGTGGGCGTGATGATCCTTGGTCAGCTACTGACGAGGATACTGCTCGCCGCCCATGCTGGGGATCGACTTGCAGCGGCTCGCAGGATACTCAGGGACGTGCCGCTGATAGATGGGTAAGTTTTTCTATCGCGACTGCGATCACTGTACGATTTTACTCTGCGTAAACGGCTTAACTGGCTCGCGGAACTCAGAATTTTAACGCTGGAACTACGAAATGGGTCAGATTGACTCATTCCTGAATTCCTCTTCCCCAGTTAGTAACCCTTTGAACTCTGTAGGCTCCAATACTGCACCAGGTATAATATTAAATATTTTAGTGGATCTCAAAGAAACTACCCTAAAATTATTCGATTCTCTGCACATCCAAATTTTGTGCTAAGAAGGAAAAAGATCGAAGAAGTGTTATAGCGTTTGTCATTTTCGATAGGGATACTATAAAAATTAGTTGCAGTTGCTGATAGATTACAAAACAACCTAGAGTGCTAAGAGTTGAAAAGATAACAGATTCCTCTCTGCGAAATTACTAAGGAAATTGATTTCTTAATATGCAAGTTGTAAGTTAATTGAAATGTTAATAGCTGTGTTCTTAGGGTTCCTATATAAATATTTGAAAATATCAATTTGCTTGGTAGTTCTGGTGTTAATACTTTCACTGCCACATCACCCGAATTGACATCATTTTTTATGTAAACTTACACACTTATTTTCTCGGTAACGCATCAAACTAATCGAATTTTGTTAGATATATGAGATATAAGCGAGATAGTAATCGTTTCGAAGAATCTTGAACTTTTCGCTTGAAATGTTATTACTTCCGACGAGAAGCTTTTATTTCAATGCTTCATATATCGACGCATCATAAGTAGCTTAATCTTATATTCAAGATTTTACAGTTTTGGTATATTAGGTCACGTGACGGTGAGTCACCTAAGTCCAACGGGTTAATGAAAGTCAAATGAAAAACTAATAAAGTTTCTCGTTATCACGCTCTCCGCCAGCCGGATTTCCATTTTTACCATTCACCCCCATTCGTTCTTTCCTCCTTCCACTCGCACCCTTCTCGTTTGCACTCTGACCCTTCCGTTCATAGTCGAAATTCACGCGGTCACGTACACGCCGCGTTAGTCGCCTCAGTCTCGCGATCCTGCACCCAGTTCGTAACACTCTTTCGTATTTCTCCAGTCACGCCGAATTTCCCGTCGTCCCGAGCGTACCTCTCAGTCGCAAGACGACGTAGACCACTCGCACGCACTACCAATCATTCATTCGCCGCGTTATGATCGATTCGCCCGGAGATTCCTTTTCCCGGAAGCGAGCAAGATAACTCGGAGGTTTAGAAAGTTTCCTCGCAAATGGAGATCGATCGTTGCTCGAATTGTTCTCGCCGGTTTTGGATATGCTCGCATCAGGTTCGGATTAGGCGAGAGTGAATTGATTCGGCGGATCGAAGATTCCGCGCGAGGGAAAGTGAACAAGGCAACTTGAGCTTTTCGAAGTTCGCTCGCAAATTGAGATTGATTCCCGCGATTTTGAGTTTCGCCCGGGTCAGGCTCGGATTAGGCGGGAGTCAGTTGATTTAGTAGATTGCAGATTCCGGCCGAGGGAAAGTGTCCGGCGTAACTCCGCGGTTTCGAGGCTGCAGATTGAGATTGATTCCTGCTCAAGTGCTCGCCGCGATTTTCGATCGCGCGGCGGTCGTTCGCGCATCGATCCACGTTCCGATGGGATCGTTGTCTTTGCCTTGGAATTTCAAACGGGAAAGCGTCCTTAGCCTCGAGTACTCGTACCTAGTTACAATTCCAACATCAGTAAGCCATCCACTCGTGCCGCCAACACTGACAAAGAACACTGCACCTAGGTATCGTCTAGGTTGGCGTCCTCGTTTCTAGTAGATCAGCTACCCCTGTTTTCATCGACGCGTTTCATCCGATTCTCTATTATCTCGCACGAATAACAAGTAAACTACTGAAGCACAGTTCCGTACTTCGAGAATTGCTTAACTCGATGCATCATCAGACACATGTATACTCTGCTGAACCAATCCCCAAAGTATTCCCTCTAGATAATTTCTAACGAATTTCTAATTAACTTCTACAGCTGTGTTCGCTAACACTACTCCATCGTTAGTGATTCAGGGAAAAGGAGGATAATAGATAGATAATAGAAAAATACCATTGAATGCTAACTCAAACGAATCGACACTTTGCGAACTACTCGAAACATTTCTCTCGCGATAACACAGGAATTCAATAAAAAATATTATCAACTTAGTCAGCTAGTGTCACATTACTCCAATACGTCGATGCACCACCTAGATTCCATTCACAGAAAAATTAGCCATGCCCAAGTCAGACACCGACTTCGTTCCATTCCGCGAGTGGAGCGTGCCCGAGTGGCACTCGGGGCTTGGTCCTTAAGGGGTTAACAGATAGCGACGAGTTCACGTTTATAGGTTACGTAACACTCGTCCGAGTAGCGGAGAGAAACTGTTCCCGGGCCGATCTCGGTGTGCTCGAGAGCCTTCATTGTGACGTTCGTAAAATCCGTTGAAATTTTAATGAATAACTGGAAAACTCTCTCCCGCTCGCTCCCTTCGTCCGTGTAATCGTTAACGGGGAGTGTCGTTGAAACGCGAGAACCGCAAGGCACGAATTTATTGCCGGCCTGGAACAATGTCGTCGTAACGACACGACCGGCGGACGACGTTCTGCGCGCCTCTAATTACGCCGGAATTAAACTCGAAAGGAATGTCCACCGGTGTCCGAGCAGCGATAGGTTCGATTCACGCAGGACTTAAACGGTACGGTCGCGATCGGTCACAGTCAATGATCGAAAACTAGTAAATTCGGATTTTACTAAATTAGTGTGTATTATACAATATTCGTAATATTAGCAATAACGATGATCATAAGAGAATATTGATAAATACGAAAGTTATAGTAGAATTCATTTGAATTCTAGAAACATTTCTGTCAATGAAAATTGTATCACTTAAATCACTGATCAACTGTGTTTAATACTAGAACTACTGAAGATGTGACAGCGTTCGTATGTGATCGATGTAAAGACTGCAATAATACTTTTTCGATCTTTTCGTGTATTCGTTATAGTATTCAAGTGAAACTATTTATTTTCGCCTTGGATATTTAACCCTTTGCAGTCCGAAGTGCTCTTGGTTTCTTAGTTTGAGGTTCACGTCGACGTTAGTTCACTCAATTACAGCTCAATATGACGTTCTATTTATTTATTCAAGAATATTTGAGTGTCATTGAAATGTTACCTTTAAATGGTACAATTGTGATACTACAAATATAGAAAAAATTGTTAAAACAGGTGGAGGTTGCAATAAAATAGAATGTCGAGTCTGACTCGACATAGGACTGCTAAAGGTTAATAGTTTTAAAATATCGATAACTGTAAAATGGGGAAACTAATTCTATCGTTCCCAAAGAAATTGATATCCCTTCATCTAGCATGAATCAAACTCGACGCAAACATTTACCAAATGAAGCTCGTAAAATTCAGTACGCGTGAGAATGTCGCGTAAAGCTAATGTTAAACAAAGCCGGTGTAATCCTGAGAATGAAAAGCCAAGGACACTCGGAGCCGCAAAGGGTTGAAACGGTAGCAAACGTTCGGTTTTTCCGCGTTCGATCGGCAGCTGAACTCTCCGACCTCGTAACTCTCGTTTTCCCCCTTCCTCCCGCTTCCGGTCGTTTCATCCCCCGTCGTTCCGTCGGCGGTATCGATTCCGCGGCATTTATCAAGGCCGCCGCGAAATCAAATTTGCCTGGGCGAGGCGACACCGGAGAACAGAGAGCCTTGGAAATTTGTTTCGACGCGTGCACGCGCATAACACGAATACGGGTTTTTATACGCAGCCCCCCGCGGAACCCGTAGCACTCCGATAATCGTGAAACGGAAACGTTCGCGCGGGGATTCGTGTAAATTGCGCGCGAGCGAAGAAATTAATTGCTTTCGGTCGACGTCGGGGGATTCCGTCGGAGGCTCGCGGAGAAAAGAAATGTTTAATGAGGGAATGTTTCGGCTGGAATCCGGCGGGCAAGGAACAATGTAAATCGTTTGTTTGGGGGAGACAAGTATGTGTGGTATTACGGAGAGATCGTGGAATAATGGACGCAGACAGCGGTTCAGTCGGGGACAATTTGAGAGAAATATTGTTAGGATGTCGCTGAAAGCATCGGGCGAGTTCGATTACATTGTTTCCCGGTCTGCGATGGAGGAACGGTATTCATCTCGGGACGGTAAGAGGCAATTTTTATGGAGAATGTTGTCAGCACGTTCCGTTAATAAATGTCGCGCAGATATAGTAGTCTAGAACGCTTTACGGGAAGGTTATAATAGAAATATGGAATAACGATGGATTCGTTTTGTTTTTCGACGCGACGTTGATTGACAATATTTGTCAGACGTCTAATGGGGAACATTGTTAATTTAACTCTGTTTTTCCAAGCTGAATTTGCTAATTGAACCTGTTATACCGTGTATTTCCACGCTTTGGTAATTGAAAAACGGGTCTATTGGTGTTTCGTGTTTTCATTAAACTGTTCGTTTGATGTTTTTTCGCGTCTGTTTATACGTAATTATACGAAAATACGAGTGTTCCTAAAAATTTCGACTGCAATGAGAGTGTTCGTTCTCGATTCGAGACTCGTCTGGAATGTGCCGATCTCAATTTCATCTCTACGATTACCATTGTTCCGGATTCATAAGAAATGCATATGGTGCTTGGTCTGTGGTAATCGAGGGATGATCGTATCTATTGGATCGCCACGTGTTCCCCGCGAGGGGGCGGGGCGGAGAAGGCCGTTCCAATTCGGCGAAACTCTGGGATGCGCATTCCTTGAGGGATAATGAGAAAGTTTCGCGGAATGGGGTGGGAAGACAGTAATGGAGGCAAGAGAATTAAACAGGCTCTATAAAACGAGAGAAAAAGGAGCACGGAGAAGGAGAGGTTAGAAGAGAACGGCGACTTCAAAGAACTGACAGAGCGAGAGAGAAAGAGGCGAAAGAGAGAAACAACGGCAACGGAATAACAGTAAAAGCAAGAAAGAAAGAAACTAAGAAAAAGAAAACAATAACGACTTTCCGA